TTATTATATATTCGTGTAGCTTATCTCGAGAGCTTTCCAAAACACTACAATAAAGTATTTCTTCATTGAGTACTTTTCGAGTTATGAAGCTTGAAATCATTTCTTAATTTTGCATAAACCATAAAATATCTAGTAAAATATTCACTTTTCGATTATCTTACCTTAATACTTTTATGTACAAAATAATGAAAGAAATCAATTGGTCTAAAGAAAAAACAATTGTTTTTAAGAAAAAAATATGTAATTTGCAATTAACAATTATATATTTTTTTTTAAACAACTATGTGTTTTCTTTACACCAATTGTTTTCTTTACACCAAATTCCTCTCATTATTTTATACATAAAAGTATTAAGGTAAGATAATCGAAAAATGAATATTTTACTAGATATTTTATAGTTTATGCAAAATTAAGAAATGAATTTCAAGCCTCATAACTCGAAAAGTACTCAATAAAAAAATACTTTATTATAGTGTTTTGGAAAGCTCTCGAGATAAGCTACACGAATATGTAATAAAAAATAGGGAGTTCCATTTAAGAAATTGAAGGTGACCTTTACGTCACCTTCAAATAACTCTCCAAGGTCAAATCATTGCCACTATTTGATGGCCTCCTTCAAGTCATACAACTTTTGTCACATTTCTTTCTAAAGTGCATAGTTTATGAAATATTCGACAGGTCCGGGACTTTTGGGACACTGTATATATATATATATATATATATATATATATATATATATACTAAATTCAAGTAAATTTTTAAATAGATTCAAGTATTCAAACTTATTTCAGAATTCAAAACGTTTTGTTTGTTACTTTAATTTTGTTCTAAGCGCATCAAACATGAATTAGTTTCCATTATCCGTCCTCGCAACCAATTAAGGCTGGCACTATTGATATTTGCAATGCAAGTATAAGCCAGATTGTATTACAGCGATAAAATGATACGAGATAGCGACTGCCAAATTTAGAACAGCAAACAATTTATATCTCGTTACGCAATAGCTTTTACAGTGCAAAAACTGGCCGCTATCGCCATCGATGTATGTTCCTTACGTAAAAGCTTTCACTATCGCTAGTTGCATCTGTACGATATTGCCTAACACTCGAAATAATGTTGCATATACGATATAAAACTTTTCCTTATTTCGCCAGAGACTTAAACAATATATATTGTCGATGTATACATGAATTAGTTTTTAAATTATAAGTGTGTATCGTATATCTTTCAACTCTTTTTTTTTTAAATATTTTAAGAAACATAAATACAATAAACAGCCTGATACGAGTTAAACTGTGGATGATAGGTCAGTTAAAAAAAACAAAAGGGTAAAAAAAGAATGTCAATAAGTCGCATTTATTAAGAGAGCGACAAAAAAGTGAGACGTTTCGATGCTTACTTGCATCTCTTCAGTCACGAAGTGTTAAGATTCAAAAATATGGTGATCGCATCTCGAATATAAAGTCAACGTGTGTTGTGTGACAGCTTGGTTTCTGATAAAAATTACATACGTAAAATTAAATACATGAAACATAAAAGATTAAATAAAGAAAAAATAGCGTGAAACTTAAGGAAACCGTTACAATTAAAATAGATCATTTGTAAAAAATCTTACCAAATCTGCTAAAATTTGAAACCTCCACACAGACTCGAGTCTTAGTATTAAAAATTAAAAACATTGTTGCGGCAACGGTAGACAGTAAGACAATGGGACAATATGTTATTCTCACCGCAATATAAATAGATCAGGATCAACAAGTACAATGCGAGACAAACAAACCATCATAATGAATCTAATAGTGGAAAATACATATTATTTAAAGCTGATAAATTCTCAATTTTATTTAATCCATTTTTTTTGTTTTTTGATGAAAATCATTTCCGAAATCAATCTTTTAAAGTAACGGGGTTCATGGTCCAATATTTTAATTTCATCCCATCCTATAGAGTGATTTTCATTAATAATATGGTCAGTGATAACCGATGGTTTAAAAGACTGTCCAACATTATTCTTGTGCTCCCTCAATCTAGTTTCAAGATGTCCCTTTGTCTGTCCCACGTAAGAAGCGTCGCAATCATTACAATCAATTCTATAAACTACATTATTTTCTTTTAATTTTGGAGTGGCGTCCTTGTGTACCTTAATGAAACGGTTCAAGCGGTTGAAACATTTGAAACCCGTAGATTCAGTGTTGTTAAAAACTTTACAGACGCTTTCAGATAAACCTTTTATATAAGGAACCGCTATGTATTTTTTATCTCCTGAATCGGCATCAATTGAACCGTAAAACGTATTATGGTTATCAGATTTAGTGAAAAGAAGTTTTTTTATTCTAATGGACACGTATTTGAAAATAAACGGAAGAGGGTAGCCATTACTTAATAGGATGTTAATGCTAAGATTGATGTTCTTCCGATGGAAAGTTGGATGAGATAACAGAATTGATTTATCAATTAAGCCATATATTGTACCAATTTTGTGGCAAGTAGGATGATTAGAAAAAAAGGAAAGATATCTACCTGAATAAGTATCCTTATGAAACCAATTTAAAATTAACTTATTATTATTGATATAAATTTTGAGATCCAAAAAATTAATGCTTCTGTCGTATTCCGGTTCAACTGTGAATCTTAATCTATTGTGGAAAGAATTGAAAATTTCAACCACATTCTGTAATGCATCTCTGTCCAATGCCATCAAAACATCATCAACATAGCGGTAATAAAATTTAATTTTTTCCCGATTTTAAATAAGGCTTTGTTTTCAATATCCTGTAAGACTAAATCTGCCACTATCGGTGATAAAGGGGAACCCATGGGAGTTCCAAACGTTTGCCTGTACACCTCCGTCAAAGTTAAAATAGGTGGAGTCGAGGATAAATTTGACTATTCTTAAAAATTCTTTTTTCGGTACATTAGTGAATTTTTCTATATAAGACCATCTGTTTGAAATGGCACCGATAGCTAATTCAGTTGGGACATTAGTAAACAAGGACACCACATCCAATGACACTAAAATATGATTGTCATCTATTACGGTATTCGATAAAATGTTATAGAGCTGGTAACTATTTTTAACAGCACTTCTAGCAGTTGGAAGACTGCTTAAAAGAATTTTTTGAACAAATTTTGCTATGTTATACAACGGGCTATTAATAGACGAAACAATGATGCGAAGAGGGAAATTCTGCTTGTGAATTTTCGGTAGACCGTAAATTTTTGGCAGTGAGCCATTACTTGATCTCAGTATATAATATTGTTGTTTGGATATATAATCATTGTTAAACCACATTTTTACAATATTATTAAGTTCCAGTTCTATTTTTTTACAAGGATTTTTTCGAACCTCTATGTATGTACTAACATCGCTAAGCATATTACTGATTGAATCAACATAATTGTTTTTGTTAAGAGCCACAGTAAAAAATATTTTGTTAAATGATATTTATTTATTTTCTTAAGTTATGAATATATATTGTATATTTTTTATTTAAAAAAATAATACATTATGAAAAACATATATATACAAAAAAATTTTATTACAATGTAATTTGACAATTCAAATATTGAGGGAATTAATAGTAGAAAAGTTAACAGACTAATTTTATTTGTTTGATGCGAGTTTAATATCATCAGTTTTAACGAATGAAAAAATACGCTTTTCTTGAGTTTATAACTATATGTTGAAATGGAAGATATTATTACTTAATTTTTTGTAATATCAATCTTGTAGCGATTATCAGATATCACTTATAAACAGTGTTTGCTGGTATCTAGATAAAATTATCTAGATAATCATCTAGATAAAATTATCTAGATAATCATCTAGATAAGGAAATGGATCATCTTTATCTTTAACTAGATGAAGAAATACAAAGTATATTTATCTTTATCTTAAATGAAAAATATATGTCATCTTATCTAAAAATTGTCTAAGATGACGTTTACATTATGCAAAAAAGTTTTCCAGCCAAGCTTCTAAAAATCTATCTAAAATATCTAAAATATATTTTTTATATTATTATTAATATATTATAAATTAAAATTAAATTTTATTTTTAAATTAATATATTATTATTATATTATTAATATATTATAAATATATTATAAATATAAATTAATAAATAAATATTTATCATATCATTTATATACCTTTTTGCTATTATTTAAATATTCTTTAGGAAAAAAGAAAGAATATGTGTTTATGATTTTAATATCCCATTTATAATCTGCATCACATTTTTTACAAATATTTGTAGTCTTCTAAAATATCTAGATAATTATCTCGATAATCGCAATAATCATCACATCTTTCATCTAGATTAAGTAAAAGCAAAATCATCTATATCTCCTCTAAGATAAATTTACGGATTTTTATCTTTATCTTTATCTAGATAATTTTGAAATTATCTACAGCAAATACTGCTTATAAACGTGTTATTATATTTTTTATGACTAACAGCGAAAAAAAGAAACGTCTGTGTTGCTGTGAAGAGCACAAGGAGTGAAGTCTCGAAAACATGTGAACGAGTGAAGTAGAAATATTAAAAGAACTTTATTAATAAAATATATATAATTATATATAAATATATATAATAAATTATATATGTATTAAATATTTTTAAATAGTTTAAATTTTTATACTATTAATAATCTCTCTCTCTCTCCCTCCCCCTCCCTCCCTCCCCTCCCCCTCTCCCTCCCTCTCTCTCTCTCTCTCTCAGCATTTTTACATATACATAAGTTTTTTTTTTTTAATTTTAGCTTTATATCAGCTTTCACCTATACCTAATCTATAATATACTTACCAAAATGCACAGATTTTTATTCTATTTATTTTACTCATCTTCTTTTTACAAATATATATGTAGATAAAACGCACATATTATTCGAATAATATTTGCGTGAACAAAATACGATAAAATCTGATTTCAATGCGAAAGAATGAAACGCACATACATGTTGTTAAGTAATAAATATTAAACTAATGGCCACATCGATATACAATAATAATTATTCGATGCATCAAAGCTAAAATAATCAAGAAATTCATTATACAGCGATTTAATTTTTAATTTTTTAATTGGTGATTGTTCTTACAAACATCATATCACGCAATCTTTTATCATTGTATGTATTTTTTAGATGGATCATAGTTCTCTACAGTTAACGGTGGTTTATATTGTATTTCATTTTGTATCTTAGAGATGCGGCAAGATTTTCGGAAATCTTTTTCAAAAAACATCAATTGTCTGAAAATATCAAAAAATGAGATTAAAATGAAAATAAAATTATTCTTCAAATATCATTTAAACATCATTTAAATATTCCAAAAATTTTTATATCATTCATATAAATGTAGAAATGGATAAAAGTGTTGTATTCTCACATACTTAAAATAATTCTTTGCAATCTGATGTTTCCAATTGATCTGGCTTATCAAGTGCTTCGAATATATTGTAGCGAGATCGTGAATGTGATAATGTACGTCGGCTTCATCCTCCGTAAGAAGAATGCAATTCCAAGGCGCCCACTCGACATCCTTTTGATATCTGACCAATCTCAGAACAAAAAGATCGTTTATCTTACTGACCGCTGATCGACCATGCCAAATATGATTAACCAGATGGTAAATATCGTGTTCCTGCATCATAAATGCTAAAACAGAAGTGGAGTTCCGACGCTTTTCTTCAGCTCGTACGCAATTTAATATAAACATATAAGAATCGTAATCAATATGCGCAATATTACGCCGAGCTAGAGAACTGCAACCTTAAAGAAATATTTAATTAATTAATTTCAAAATGTATGTTTATAAATAAGAAAGATTTGAAATTAAAAGGAATTAAAAAGAAAAATTTGACTATTTTTGAGTGGAAAATTTAACTTTTTTGAAAAGATACCCAATTTTCTTATTTTTTCCTCTTAAAATGTGACAGAGTAAGATAAATAATATAAATAAAAAAAAACTAAAATACACACGCGCAATATAAGGACTCTCTCTACGCAAGAACATTAAAAAAATTTTCATAGAGAAATGTTTTATTCGATTAAAAAAGATATAAATTATAGATGATCAATAGATCAATAAATTATTATATTAAAGATCACACAAATATGGATAAAATTTTATAAAATACGATACTCATATTGTCATCACTCACCAATACAAACTGATAGCTTTTTCATTCTGGTATGTGGTAAAAATCTATGACAAGGAAGTAATTTTAAGCAGTTCCGACAAAATTTCATTCTTGTTTCTAATGGTTCTCGTAATTCATTGTCTTTAGATTTTGCATCGACACATCCGCATATGCTATACATACTTATAAAATTTAAGTAAGTGTCTGTAAGATATAATAACATATTATAAATAAAGTTATATACAATAATATATGCAATTTTATAGTGATAAATACAACTTAAAAAAAAGAAATATATATGTATAAGTGTTTTAATTTATTATGTGTAATTATACCTTATATAAAATTTAATTATTTGCTTATTATTTTATACATATTTCTTTCATGTTGTATTTATCGCCGGTAATATTTAGAGATATATGACATATTATTAATAACTAATAAATATTAATAATACAAAAAATCAATTTCTTCATTTTTATTGTATCATTATTAGTTGTTAATAGCAACATTATTTCAGGATATTAATGAATTTCATATTTTACGTTTTATTCTCTCATTTAAATAATCGAGTGATAGATCTTCGATCCTTCGATTCAGCAATGCGATCTCTTGATCTAATAAAGAAATCAAATCAAAAGCTTCGATACAATTGTGTGATTCGAGCAACTTTTTTAACATTATTAATAACTTGATCCGTTCCTCTGAACTGACATTGCGGTTATTCAATGCGTTATAGAATCCTTTGAACTCCCGAGCCTTTTGAATTTTCATAGTAATCATCTCCACTTTACCCTTGTAACCGGTCCATTGTATCGGCTTGCAATTCAGCGTTAAAAATTTCAGAGCTCGCTGTTTTCTATACGAGCTTTTGATAGCTTGTTTATGTTTATCGATATGATTGAACATTTCCACTGTCTTTTCGAGAATTCTGTAATTCTCGGCACGCTGCCCGCTTTTGAACAATTGCGATTTTATGTTTTTCAGACAATCAGATCTCCATTTTTGGATTAGGCTATAGAGCATGTCAAAATCAGCTCTAGATCGTGGATAAATTTGGCGAAGAATGTTCTGTTTATGTCGCATTCTGTAAAAAGAAATACATGATTTTATGACGGCGTATGTACAAAATGTGAGGTAAAATTGCTCGAACATCTTCAAAAGTGTTGTGAACAAAGTATATTATGCGTGAAAAGATCTATATCGAGAAAAAGTTATGTACTTTAATATCCACGAAATCACAAAATTTTTCTCATATAACTTAATACTTTAATAACATACTTTTCTTACATTAATATTTTTTAAAATATATAAATAAAAAAAATTTTTTTATAAGTGATGGAACAGCTAAAGCAAATATTTTCTTAACAAAAATATTAATTTTTTTTATAATTTTATAAATAAATAAATAGTTATTAATAAATAATAAATAGTTACTAATTTTATAAATAAATAAATAAATACATGATTTTATGACGGCGTATGTACAAAATGTGAGATAAAATTGCTCTTCAAAAGTATTGTGAACAAAGTATATTATGGGTGAAAAGATCTATATCGAGAAAAAATTATGTACTTTAATTATATCCACGAAATCATAAAATTTTTCTCATATAATTTAATACTTTAATAACATACTTTTTTCACTTTAATATTTTTCAAAATATATAAATAAATAAAAATATATAAATAAAAAAAATTCTTTTATAAGTGACGGAACAGCTAAAGCAAATATTTTCTTAGCAAAAATATTTATTTTTTTTTCTAATTTTATAAATAAATAAATAGTTACATTAGCAAAATTTTAATTTATTAAAGCTGAACTACAAGTATTTAAAAAATCAGAATCATCTTTTAAAAAAATCGAATCTAAATGATCAAAAACGAGAAATGAAAAATAATGAAGAGAAACGAAAAACCTAAGATATTCTACACATGAGCTTACGGGACTACATCTGAAATCTGAAATATGAATATTCAATATTCTAATTATTAATTATTTCTCAGAATTATTTGTAATTTATATAATATAAAAACAATTGAGAACGATTATCATGTATGTGTTTAAGCTTCAAAAAATTTATCTCTTTTAAAATAAAATATTATTTTGAATTATATATATATATATATATATATATATATATATATATATACATACTTGTATGCGATAACTTTCTCTTCTTCGTATTTATTACATTTTTCGAGTATGTTACGATAAGCTTGCGCGCATTCCTTGATGTATTTCATTAACCTGTATGCTCGATAATTTTTCTGAATCACACATGCATATCTATCTAAATAGGACTGTATTTCGACATAACGTTTATAAGGCTTTACAATCATATACGTATCCTCTTCGTTACGTATGTAGCAGTTGTGTCTAAATTAATGTTGTAAAATTTTCAGTTTACATAATTTATTTGTATATAAGCTGATTTATATATACCTATTTATATATTTTATTTCTTTGATAAAATAAGTCTTTTCAAATATATACACCTTTTGATTTTAGATTATATTTGCACAATTATGTAAATGCAATATTTTATATGATACATATAAATTTAAGTATTTAATACCGCCACATTTGCGTTGCACAATGATGCAAAGATTGTGTTGCTTCGTCTTTGGTTTGCACACATTGCACCGCTCTGCTGTATGTATTCTCCCATGATATCTGTTTCGATAGAGGTCCAGTTTGAGAAGCTGCGTTTATGTATTCTATTCCGGTAATTTTATGTCGCCATCCACCCAGATAAGGTTTGAGAATCCTTTGTTTTTCTATTTCAACCGGTAAGGCCATCTTAAATGATGATTTTAAATCTCTCCATTTTTTTTATTGAAATTGATATAAACATCTATTTTAGATAACACACTTATAGATGAATTATTATTATTTATCGAAGACTTGAGATACAATATTTTATACTTCATTGACATATGTCATTATATTAGTATGATAGAAAATATATTTAGGAAAATAAATTATCCGGTTTATTTTTTGTTTTGTTAAAAAAAGCACTTAAGACTATTTTTTATTATTGAATTATACAGAGTGGTCCATTTTAACATTGCCATCGAAATATCTCGTAAAGTATAAAAGATACGAAAAAATGTTTCAAACAAAAGTTGTAGGATTTTGAGGGGGACATTTAATGGTGACTTTGATTTTGACCTAGAGGTCGAATTTAGTGGCCATTTGAAGGTCAACTTAATTTTTTTAAAAGGAATCCCCTATTTTTTATTACATATTCTTGTAGCTCATCTCGAGAGCTTTCCAAAACACTATAATTAAGTTAGTTTCCACTAAGTACTTTTCGAGTTATGAGGCTTGAAATCATTTCTTAATTTGACATAAACCGTAAAATATTCATTTTTCGATTATCTTACTTTAATACTTTTATGTACAAAATAATGAGAGGAATCAATTGGTGTAAAGAAAACACATAGTTGTTTCGAAGAAAAAATATGTAATTTGCAATTAACAATTACATATTTTTTCTTTAAAACAATTATGTGTTTTCTTTACACCAATTGATTCCTCTAGTTATTTTGTACATAAAAGTATTAAGGTAAAATAATTGAAAAATATTTACAAGATATTTTACAAGAATATTTTACAAGATATTTTACGATTCATTATTTGTCAAATTAAGAAATGATTTCAAGCCTCATAACTCCGAAAGTACTTAATGAAAACTAACTTAATTATAGTTTTGAAAAGCTCTCGAGATAAGCTACAAGAATATGTAATAAAAAATATGGAGTTTTCCATTTAAAAAAATTAAGTCAACCTTCAAATGACTAAATTCGAAGTCAAAGTCAATATCAGATATTCCTGAAAATTCTACAACTTTTGTTTGAAACATTTTTTCGTATCTTTTAGACTTTACTAGATATTTCGATGACAAAGTTAAAATGGAACACTCTGTATATTAGAAAAAATAAATGTAAATTTTTTTTGTATTATACAGGGTGTTATACATTTTCTATTTACTTTACTTATAGACTTTAACATTTGAATGTCCGACGTAATACGTACAATGTAAATAGAAAATATTTATAACTTTGAAAAGAAGTTTCTGAACATGTTTATGACTTTTTTCATCCTTACAATGTATGAAATATGCTCTTAAAGTTTGGCCAACTATTTCTAAAACACCCTGTATATTAAAATAATTTTTCTACAACTACGTCACCAAAATGGTGAAAAAAATGTGAGAAAAATGTCTATGTTTGAGATTGTATAATTTTCTATATTGCATAATATATTTACAGCTCACATCAACTATTTGCAATTTAGTAATAGCAATTTTTAAAACTAACACAATTAAACAATTGCGCGCATATCTATGTGTATGTGCGCGCGCGTATGAATATTTAAACATAAATCATCTCTTAGAATTCTATTTTTAAAATAAACACAATTTATACAGAAAAGAAATAAAAAGAAAATTTTTATCTACAAATATCATTTCCTTCTAATGAGATCATATGTAAATCAGCATGAAATGTATTTTTTAATTTTAGATTTATAATTATGTTCAAACAATGAAAAGAAATGTATGAAATAGAGAGAGATCATTTAAAAATCCAGGATCATTTAAACATCGAGGAGTAAAATATCAAATCAAAGAGAGATATTGTTTTCCACAAAGGAACTTGAAATAAATAGCACGTTCTTTTATATTGTAGAAAAATAATCGATACAGATATGTAATTTAGGTTATTTTAATCAGAGGAAAATGTCTATGACAAGAGAAATCGAACATCGGTGGCTCTTTCGAATCTTTTTTATGTCCATCAGCCAGTAGCTTTAGCACCACAAAATTAGTCTTTGCTACTTTTAATAAGTTGTTAATCTGCAAAACAATTGCATAGTAAAGATAATGTTATAATATAGTTTTTACAATTGCAAACTTATGTATTTTTATAATCTTACTTCATTTTCCATTAAGCTATTTGATGGGTAAAGTAATAACGCACGTTCCAACATATTTCTAGCTTGATGAAAATGTCGGCAACCGGCGATATACTGCATTTCACTAGTAACCTTTTCCTTAGAATAAAAAAATTAAGAACAAAAAATGTAATATTTTTATGTGCAATTTTTGTGAGTTATTGATCATTATAATGTATATTTTTTAAAGTTCTAATTAAAAATTAAACTTACATTCCTTTTATGCATTTGAGCATTTGTCATATCTAAGAATTCTTGATAATGAACAGGTGGTGGTGTTAACAAAGACGAAAATGGTAATAATCTGTGTTCATATCTCACTCGTTCCGAGTCGAACTCCTTTTCTGGAAGTGGTATTTTTCCATCCATGCGAAAACCGACTAAAGCCTAAAGAAAATTTCACAAAATTGCATATTACATACTGAATTGTACATACTTGATTAATATGATTAGTATATTCTATTAAAGACATGTAATTTACTTTATAATATCCGCCACATATATTTTGCAATGCCTGATACATTAATATTTCCAAATTGTACGGTCTCGGAGTTGACTTTTTTTTTTTATTTTTAGAACTCTTCTTGCTGCCTCTACCTTTATGTGTATCATTGTGTACATCCTGCTCCATTAAAAACGTATCGGCTCGTGTAATCGCAGATACAAGCCAGCCATACAAAAATTCATATAGATACCAAAAGATATAGTGATATTCGTGCACTGAATATAACTCGAGCTCGAAGCCACTTAGCAGATACATAACCATTACACGTAGTGTGTGGTACAAAATCCAAGTACCGAAGCAGGCCAAATGAGGTCTTGGTGTATCACTTTTTAAAGATAGAGTATGCAGATATCCATCAACTCTCTCTGCCTAAAATGTATGTTGTAATTGTTAATTATTGTAACTATTATCATTAGTTTATTGTATGTAACTTTTATTATTAGATATGTGTTATTATTCGATGTGTTGTGTAAATTAGTTTATTTAAAATAACATTATTAGAATGCTTTTGTTAAAAATGCCAATTTTTAAAAATTAAACATAATAAAAAGGCAAATACATATATAAAATAAACACATATTGTAGAAAAAAAAATAAAATATAAAAAGCATATACAGGATGTCCATGACCATCCGTATCAGCCGAATATTTCGAAAACAAAGCGTGATAGACAAAAATGTTTCAGACAAAAGTAGGGTTTCGAGTAACGCATTACATAGCAATATCAGTATGACCTTGAAGAATTGTCAAGGTCATGAAATAACATTAAAAATAACATTAAAATTTTTTGATGGAAAGTACTACTTTTTGCATATTCTTGTAACTTATCTCGAGGGCTTTCCAAAACACTATAATAAAATATTTCTTCATTAAGTACTTTTCGAGTTATGAGACTTGAAATAATTTCTTAATTTCACATAAACCATAAAATATCTAGTAAAATATTCATTTTTCGATGATCTTGCCTTAATACTTTTATGTACAAAATAATGAGAGAAATCAATTGGTGTAAAAAAAGCACATAGTTGTTTCAAAGAAAAAATATGTAATTGTTAATTGCAAATTACATATTTTTTCTTAAATATAACCATGTTTTCTTTACATCAATTGATTCCTCTTATTATTTTGTACATAAAAATATTAAGGCAAGATAATCGAAAAATGAATATTTTACTAGATATATTACGGTTTATGTAAAATTAAGAAATGATTTCAAGCCTCATAACTCGAAAAGTACTAAATGAAAAAATGTTTATTTATAGTATTTTGGAAAGCTCTCGAGATAAGCTACAAGAATATGTAATAAAAAATAGTACTTTCCGTTTAAAAATTTTAATGTTATTTTTACATGACCTTGACAACACTCTTCAAAGTCATACTGATAAAAACATTTTTATCTATCGCGCTTTGTTTTCGAAATATTCAGCTGATACGGATGGTCATGGACACCCTGTATAGTAATTTTAGAAAACAATTAAAAGAAATTATTTAAAATAATACAAAAATAATTAAAAATTCTGATTAAAAATAATTAGAAAACGAGAAATCTTACTTCATCTTGCAGTGTCGCAAAATCCTCCAATAAATGCGCTAACTTATCTCTTTGTCTTGCCCTATTATGTCCACTAAGCTGCAATAGGCTTCCGAATAAGCTAACGCAATGCGATAGAAAGCTGTCGACATATTCCTTAGCTTGATGATTTTGAAGCAATGTGCTTTTTGGCATCAACACTGGTGGCGCGATAAAATTTCGCGCCGCATCTTTTAACACATCGGCGAAATTGTGTATGCCAAATACACGATTAGTAGTAGGTAAATAAACGATTTGCAACATAGACCTAGACAATATGCATGGACTCTGACGCGAAAATTCTAAGAAAAAATCCTAAAAGAAAATTCATTTATTTCGCATGTGAATTTCGCATCGATAAGATCGATAAAAAATGTTAATTTATCGTAAATTACCAGGGCGGCATGAAATCCGGTGTGATTTGTGATCTTTGTAACCATTTTGAACCTATTTATTAATTCCAATAAATATTCCAGAGCATCTATCCTCGGTTTAATTTTGGTATACCGAGGGAATGTTGGTGGCAATAATCTTTGATTCACCATAGGATCAAATCCCATAATATTTGGATGATTAGCTGTAATTAAAGAAAACATCAATCATATCTTTTCAAATAAATATTTTTTCATATAAAAAATTAATATGGTAATATCTATTTTTTTCCATAGAATTGGCCTTAATTGAAAAAAAAATGTGTAATGAAAAAACTTATAATAAAAAAGAAATATACAATAATATATTTTACATATTATATACTTACAAACTTCATCAGCTTTTTCACCACGA